GTTCTTTGATGAATCTTGGTGCCATGGGGTCTTTCTGGTCGTGATGCATGGCCGTGTCCAAGTCTTCTGGATTCGGATGAAGAACTGGTTGGAGATGGCACGGTCTGGTTGGACCGTGTTTCCAGGGCGTGGTGAAGGAGCTGAACATTCGGTGATTGCCTCGGCTAGATGAGAGGCCGTGTCTATAGAGCGTGTCGAATCCCAAATGTTTGCATGATCTTGCCGCGGCCAAGTGTGTCTTGCCACGGTCAAGTGTAGACCGTGGCGTTACCTCGTGGAAAATCCCGAATGCACGCATGATCCCAAGTGTTGTCTTGCCACGGTCAAGTGTAGACCATGGTAAAACATCGTGACCTTGGACCCTTCAACTTTTAAAACGCTTTGGAGGTTGCCACGGCCAAGTCCAAAACCGTGGTGTGTAGACCGTGTCAAATCCCAAAGGACTGTATCAAGTGCCACGGTCAGATGTGGACCGTGGCATTCCACCGTGCCAACCTTACACTTAGCATAATTTCCATGCTCTTGATGCTCGAAGGATATGTGTGTCTCTATTCTTCCGAAACTCACGCCTCACAACTCCAAATGGAACGATCTCAACTGTTCTGGAAAGAGGACTCAAGTATCTCAAATCTTGATGAAGGACCTGTAGACTGAATCGGTCTGGAAATGCATCGTCCTTCGCAATCTTTGGAGCTCATCGGGTCGGTTTAAAATGGCAGCGAGACGGGCGTGCCTTCCGACGAGCTTAACTATCTGCTCACATTTCCAAATAGGGCGATCTCAAGTGTTCCGGAAACTAGACGTATTTCTCTTGATTCTTTATGAATACACCGGAGGTTGAATCGCATTGCAAGTCCTTCGTCCCATGCAATCAAAGTGAGGTTTTTGTCTGCACCAAACCATCTGTCCGAGTTGCTGTACACAGGTGAGGGTTCCTCCATGATCCCAGCTCCAAGTTGCTCCCAAAAGTCTCCAAATGACCTGAGAACACTCCAAAAATGCAGAACACTCTAGGACCTAATGAAAATCCTAAACAAAGCTAGAACCAAGGACAAACTCTAACAAGACTAGCTAAATGTATGCATGAGACTCAATATTTGGACAAAAATGCAGTCCTAATCATGACAAATTATGAATATATCATTTTGTGTCTACTAATCTTGTTTTTTTCTGTTCTTATTTTCTACTTTGAGTCTTGAGTAACATTCTTGCATGCATTCATGTGCTTGCATCTAAGTGCAAATAAAAACCAAAAAAATCAAAAAATCAGAATAATTTTCACAAAAAAAAAATGCTCATTCTAGTTGCATTTCACATTTTTAGATTGAGTCTAGTTGCATCATATAGGTTGCATCTTCCAGGGAGTAATGCTAGTTTTTTTTTCCTTGAGAGTACATCACTTTGAGAATTTGGATTAAAAATGCTTGTGAAATGACTTCTGTGCTTGCAAGGCTTGAAATGATTTGAATCTGAGAAGCAAGTTTGAATTGAACTCAACTCTAATAAGTGAAAACCTTGAACTTGACTCGAATTATCTTGTGATGCAATCTTTGAATAAGTTTGTGGATACCAATATACATATTTGAGCTGAATCCTGTTTTTACCACCCTCTTCTTTAGCTCAAATAACTGATTCCACATCTGGATCAGTTTTCCTTACCCTGAACCCATCCTTCCTTCAAGCCAAATGTTTGTGTGTGATTGAAAGGCCACCTTGGATCAAACTTAGCAGAAAGTGTTAGGTTTAGAGCGACAAGGGCAAGTCTCATTGAGTGTTAAGTTCCATCATCAAGGAGCTGAGAGATTTGGCAAGAACTAAGTGTGGGGGAGTGCTTGTTGGTGAGTGGAAAAAGGAGAGATGAGTGGAAAAAGGAGAGATGTGAAAACTAGACGATAGAAAAGAAAAGAAATCAGTTTTGGAGTTTTGAGTTAAAGAAAGAGAGCTCTAGTGTTTTGAAAAGAAAGAGTCTAACGTCTAAGTGAAAGGAAAAGCAAAGAAGCCAAAATGCTCAAATGTTTAAAAAGAAAGAAAAAGAGGCTAGAGGTTGCAAAAGAAAAAGAGCTGTGTAAAGTTTGAACTCCAAGACTTGAGTGTGAAAATGAAAAGTAAGTCCCCTAGTGAGAGAAAAATGAGTGTGAAAAGAGAGTGTCTTGAGAGAGTGAGCAAGTGAGAAAGCTTTGAGTAGAGTGTGGGGTGGGATGAGTCCTTGCCCTTGTATGCATGGGTTGCTTTTTACCTTTAGCATTCTGCCAAAGTTTGATCATTTCATAGAGAGATCCCCTTGCTGCATTGAACCCACTCAGGCATTGTTGAGATCATTCCAATCTCATATCCTCTCCCTAGCCAAGCTTTGCTTGTTTAAACATTGCATCATTTGATCCACTTGGTTGAAAGCTTAATGAATGTCAAAGAGTTGAGGAATATGAGAACTTGTGGAGATTGAGCTGATTCATCAGAGTATGGTCTTGCATTGCATATTGACCATGAAATTGAATTCTCTTAGTGGTCACTTCTCTCTTTCAAAGGAAATATGAAATCCTAATGCAGTCAACCTCTTTCTCTTGTGTGAGTCGAAACTCGCACAATCAAAATTTGTTAAGGAAAAAGAGGGATCTAAAGCTTCTAAGTGAAAATCTCAAGAACAAAGATCGAAAAGTAGTTTTATTGCTTAGGGTTTCTGTGATTACGTAAAAGTTACATAATGAGAGAATTACATCGACTATTTATACTAAATCTACAAACCGCCTAGCCAAGATTCTCTCCCGAGATTCTCGGAATTTTTTCTTTTCTCTTGTGCGGCTAGCGACTTCGATCCTTCTTAGGGTAAATTCCTCTTGGGCTCGTTTACTGGATCTTCGCGGTTGCCCGGCTTGGCCTGTTAATGCTTTCGACCCTTCGGCTCGGCCCATTTTCCTTCTCTTTCGGCCCAATCCACTCCTCGTTTCCGGGTGATTTCTTGGCTCAAGTACGTCGGAGACCTTCCGGACCGAGACCGGCTCGGTTCGGTTCTTCGCCTTCCTTGGTTTGGCTCGGTTAAATCGAGCCTTCGATTTGGCTCAATTCGGCCGAACCAGCACTTGGTTTGGCTCAGTTCGCGACCATGCCCGGTTTGGCTCGGTTGGCGATGGTGTCCGGTTCAACTCGGTTTTATTGTGTCTCTTGCGTTTTGGTTCGCTTCTTCCTTCGGTAAATCGTAAAATTGAGCTTTCCGAAACCTAATTTCGACACTTAGTCTTTTTAAGGCATTTATGCTCGTGGGGGTGAAAACCGACCCCAACAGTTTGCATGGCCGTGGTTAAATTAACGAAGTCGAGGTTAAGAAAACGAAGTCGAGGTTAACTGCCGGATCACACGATAAATCTCCTTGTCGAGGCTTTTGGCTCGGGTCGATTTTTTGTTTCATTTGTTTCTTTTTTTTTTGTTTTGCCGAGCCAAAAGAGCGCTTGACGAGCGGAAACGAAATTCCGCTCCTGTCTTTACCGAGCCAAAGCGAAGAGAGTTCAAATGGATTGATTTGCCAAAGCGAAATGACGGGCGACGTTGTAAATATCGCTGAGCTGAATCGAAGAAACGATGCAGCGAATGTCGCCGAGCCGAAGTGAAGGGACGATGCAGCGAATGTTGCCGAGCTAATTTTGTCGAGGCGAGAATGAAATTCGTCTAAAGTTGCCGAGCCGAATAGTTTTGCCGAGGCGAGAACGAATTTCGTCTAAAGTTGCCGAGCCGAATAGTTTTGCCGAGGCGAGAATGAATTTCAGCTCGTCTCATTGAGATGTTAGCTCGGCTCGGTGGACTTCCGTAATCGAATAACGCTACTATTTGTTTTGTCAAAGTTCCCTTTACAAGCACGCGAGTTGGCAAATTTTGTCGAAAGGAAGATCCTCCAAATCGGATTCGGAGTCACTCGTGAATGCGATTACGCCGAGGTTTAATCGATTTTTTTGTGTTTAGTTCGAGTTTGGGCCTTAGGGGTTGCATTGTCCTCTCTAAGCCCATTATATTTTCGCAAATTCCCTAGGCAAAGTGGGACCCACACCCAAATTTCTATATAAACTCGAGCTCTCCTCCTTCATTCTCACAATTTCACTTCTCCAAAATTTCCAAAAAGGTATTCTCTCCTCTTTCCCTTTCTCTCCTGATTTTTTTTCTCTCCCTTATTTTTTTTTGCGCCGCACCACCTAGGGTTTCCTCGAGGTGTGGCAGATCGTTTGATATTTCCAATCTGCCCGAGAATTTTCCGATCCGCCGCCACAGTTCCCGATCCACCTCCAATATTCTCCAGATTCGGTCCATTCTTTGATTATCGCCCGAGCCAAAAACGAGATGTCATATCGAACCGAGCCGGAAGCTTCCACCTATTCGGCTGATTCCGCAAACTCTATTTCGCGCCAAGGCTCGTTGAACTTTGCGCCGAGCCTGATTGGTCACTCTCCTCGAGATTCCGAAGTGAAGTATCTTTCCGACGACATAAAACCCGAGCCCGAGGACTTCGATTTCGAACCTGTCGAGGCCAGACGGGAACTTGAGGTTGCGATGGTGAGGCTCGGAATAGGTTCTTCGAAACGTTGGAGTTCTCAGAGAGGAAAAAAGAAGAGGAAACCGGATCCTCCCGGCTCGTCCCTCTCGAATGAAGAATCGTTGCAAAGATTGAGGCAACATTGTAGGATTTCCGAGGCTGTCGAGTTTGTTGAGCCCGAGCCTTTCGACCGAGCCGACGATCCACCGCCGAACCACTTCACGATTTACGAATGTTTTTTTGAGCTGTGCTATTTATGGTTACCTTTGGTTACACGGGATTTCACGCTATACCTGAGACGATTTTACGCTACCTTTGGTTACACGGGATTTCACTCGGACAGATCATGTCGCGAGGTCTTCGGCATATAATCGGGATTTTGGTTTGCGGCTACGAATGCGGCATCAAAATCGGGGTCGACCATCTGCGCAACTTTTTGGAAATTCGCCGATCTTCCAAACTGGGCAAGTATTATATTTCGAACATGAGAATCTGGAGAATAATCGGGGATTTCCCGAGCAAGGACGATGCCTGGGATGATTATTTCTTCTATGTTCCTGTGGACGAGGCTACCGTTGGGAACGATTTCCGTAATTTAACCAAGACGGATTGGGGACCACTCGGTAGTTCGCTCGTAGTTCTTGGTTGGTTTGCACTTTATTTCTGGTACTAACGTTTGTCATTTTTTTTTTGTTTGCAGTTCGCGATCCACTCTTGCCGGTTCCCGAGGATATCGCTCAAGCCAGGGAAGTTCTCGCGGCTAGGAAGGTGAGCTGGAGAAAGCACTTTTCGTTTGCGAGAGTTGAAAAAGCGAGAGCTTTATTCGCTGGTGCTCCAGTTAGTTCCGATTCGTCTGCTTCTTCCATTGATACGACCGAGAGAATGGTTCGAATGTCATTTCGAGACAAGAAGGAAAAAGCCAAGAGGGAGAAAGCGAGCCGAGCCCAGGAAGCGGACACGTCAAATGTTTGTCTCAAGCCGAATCGTCCCGAAGCGCCAGCTGCTGGCGGGCCAAACGGCGAAGTGGTCGTTAACACTGAGGACACTCTCGTAGCTAACGAATCGAGCCGTGCTGATGTTTCTGTCCTGAAGAAAGTTGTCGAAATCCACTCCGAAGTTTCCGGAAAAGGAACCACAGTTTCGTCCGAGATCACTATTACTGGTGGTGAGGATCGTATTATCGTCATGGGTTTGCCCAGCCAATCGAGGCCTGCTTTTTCTACATTGACGAAGCATAAGGGCGACTCGAATCGGAAGCGTTCCGCTTCGGATGGAGATAAAGGAAAGGGTGTTAAGGAGCCAAAGAAGAGGCGTACCATTCTGCTTGATGCCGAGCCGACTTCTTCTCTGATTGATGACGCTTCTGCCTCGGCGTCGCTTCTGTCTAAGATTAACAACAAGGGAATTCGGCTTCCGCACGCTGATTCGCTTATGAAAGCGAAGTCTTATGCTAGCATGTCCCAGCGAGGCACCAAGGTAATTATTCAAAACCTTAGCTTGTTTAATTTAAGTATTCGCTCGTGTTTCACACTTGCGTTTTTTTTTGTTTTTTACAGTTTTTGGCTTCCATAAACGAGACGATCGCGGGATACGAAGCTGATGCTCGCAAGGATCAACGACGAATTGATGAGGCGAGGAAGGATGCTGTCACGCTTCAGACAAAATTGGATGAGGCCGAGCGGAAATTTTCCTCTGCCATGGCTCAGGCTAAAGCTTGGATCAAAGCTCTCGAGACGGAGAAGAAGACGTTGAAGGACGAGTGTGTTAAGGCCACCAATATGGCTGTTCGTCTCGAGGAATCAAGAGCTAAGAAGGATGCCGATATTGCTTCTTTGCAAAGGCAATTGACCGAAAAAAAACGCTCTTCACGAGGCGAACATCAAGAGAGCAGTAAAATCTGCGAGGAGGGATCTGACCGAGAAGATGCGAGGCCGTCTCAGCACCGCGGAGAAGAACCTCAAAGATTTGGCCGATGCAAAAGAAAACGAGTTGGATCTTGCGCAGATTGACGGTAACTTACAGCTCATCGAGCTCCTCAAGAAGGACGAAGCTTCAACTCTTGACTCCGAACCGGAGACTCTGAAACAGTGGCGAGCCAACTTGGTGGGAGCCGACGAGGGGTTCGATAGGATTGCTACTTGCCTTAGAGGCGAGCTAACCTTGAGTCCTGTTTCTGAGGATTCGGTTGGATTTAACCTCGGGAATGAATCGGTGGAGGCTGTTGCAAAGTTAGTTGGTGTGTCCGAGCCGACGGGCTCCAATATCGGGACACCGCGAGTCGCCGAGCTTGTCGAAGAAAGGAGGAGTTCTGGCAGGTCTCCAAGGGAGTGATTTCCGCGCTTGATGTCGCACATCATTTTCCTTTGTTTTTGCTTTAGACTTTGTTGCCTGGATGTCTTTATTCGCGTATGCTACTTTTGAACTATGTTCTGTTGGTTTTGTTTCTTTTGCCGAGCCGAGGTGCTTGGAATGACTTATGCCTTGACGGCAGATGATATCGGTTTTAGGACTTCTTGCATTGCTTGATCCTTGCGTTTATTTATGATTTCTCGATCGTATAGTTTATACTCTCAGAACTCGTAGTATATAAAGAGTGTTGTGAAAATGGCTCGGTGTTGCTTCCGAGATGTTGATAACCGATGTGTATCGGGTTTAAGTGTTTAGGATTTGTGATGTGTATCGGCTTACAAATCCGTAAACTATTCGGGGATCGATCAGAAAATTTATATAGCGCGCTGTTATCCTGTGAAGGATGTCCTTGAACCCTAGTCCATATAGGAGAAGTGCTTAAAATTCGTTTAGAGAATTTGCTTTTAGTTTATCTGTTGTGGCCAGCAACGAGATAGAAAATGCAGATATGAGATGTATGCTGAATGTTATAAAAAAAATGCTTAAGAAAATTAACTTAAGTTGCGAAAGAAATCAGATGAGTGGCAAATCTATTTTTCTTTCCTGTTCCTCTTCTTAGGCTCCAATTGGTCTCCAAGGCTCCTGATAAGGACTTCAAAACATGCAAAACTCTTTGGGACCTAATGCAAGCCCTAAGTCCTATTTTGACGCCTAAAGACTCAATTTACATGAGAAAACACATGATGAGGACTCTATAACGCAATCTAAATGATGTAAAATATAGACATATCAAAAAGTTTTGCAGTTTTTCTGAGGTAAGCTGAGTTTTCTCTTTTGTTGAATTCTTCCGGTGAAGTTTCCGGCAAAATTGCAGTTCTTCGTCTTAGTGACTGAAAACTACGTCGTTTCTCTTTCTCTGCAACGTTTTTCTCACATATCTACATATAAAACAATAGAAAACAAGAATGCGTGTGGTTCGAAAGAGGCTCTGTTAAGGTGGGGAACTAGCTAAAGATGAACTAGCCATTCAGGATCAACAGAGAGTGGTAAAAGGGTAAAGGAGTCCTGAATGTATGATTCGTTTCCCTGGTCTAATGTTTTAATGGGAGAATTAAGTCCATGTTACGTCCGAATAAAACAGAGCTAGTGATTCCTTTATCTAAGTCGAAATCATTCAAATTCCTCTTGGTTACTTCGTTTCAAATGTACTTCGGTCCAGAAGCCTGCGACCGCGGGGCTTAAATGCGGCCTGTTTCATGCTTCGCTTTGGTTCCTGCTGGGCGGAGAAGTCAGGGACCATCCTTTTTTTTGGTTTTTTGGTTTTTGTTTTTTTGGATTTTTTTATTTATAAGAAGCACCTGAAACTAAGAAAAATTAAAATATCACTAGAAAAAGAAAGAAAAATTCTAAAGAAAACAATACCTAAATGGGTTGCCTCCCAGTAAGCGCTTTTTTTTTAAGTCATTAGCTCGACTTTGGTGTAGGACGTGACTTCGTCCAATGAAGAAGACCTTGTCCTAAGACAAGTCTTTTTCGACATCTCCTTGTTTAACTTGGCATGTTCTTTGTCACTCCAAAGCTCTTCTTCAAACTCTTATGCTGCAGGACGTTTTGCTGCTTTGGTCTTATATGGGACAGCTTCTGTGAAGACATCTTTTTCGATATAAGCAAATGATATCCTCCGGTTTGGCCAGTCCATTATAGCTCTGGAAGTTGCTAGAAAAGATCATCCGAAAATCAATGGATGTGCTGCATCTCTTGTTTTGACAATGTAGAAGTCGACAGGCACAATGCAATCTCCTATTCTCAGAGGAATGTCATGGGCTATTCCTTTAGGTGTTGCATTGGAATCTTCAGCAAGACTAATATTTGCTTTTATCCTGCGCATGTGCTTAAATACAAGTCTCAAAGCAACTGCCTTGGACATCATGTTGAGACAAGCTCCAGAATCACACAGCATATTGTTAAACATTTCACCTCTAATGGAACAAGAGATGAGAAACTGACCTTGACCTTCGATTTTATAAAGTGTTCGAACAGGTCTACCTCTTCTGGCATGATTGAACAAGTATTCTATTTAAGGGATTGATTCCTTGCTCTCACAGAAGTATTGGTCTATCTTGAAGTCTTTGAAAGCTCTGGCAAAGGTGATTCTTTCAGGCAAATTTTGAACTACATCATTAAACTCATCAAGCTTTTCTTTGCTGATTTTAATGGTGTAGTAGCTGCATTCTTCAGGTTTTTGAAGGTGAATTGAATAGACAGCAGCATCAGGTGATATCCTGGGAAAGGATAGGCGTCTAGCTCTCCCAAAGTAGGTTCGGATATCCTCCTTTGTCTCTTTTCTGTACCTAAAGAAAACTTGCAAACAACCAAGGTCTTATACATCATCGAAACCTTTATAAAGAGGTATCATCTTCACAAACTTGTTGAATTTCAATGAGTCATTCAGCTTAAATTTGGAGATCTCAAAGATGAAACTATCAGCTTTCTAGCACACTTTACAGCTTGGCAATCCAACGGTTCAATCAAAAGTTACAGAAAGAGCAAGATGTCTCGTAAAAAGTATTTCAAAACGATCAATAAAAGTGGTCAAAATACGGTGTTATCAACTCCCCCAGACTTAAACCTTTGTTTGTCCCTAAACAAAGCAAAAAGCTAACCTGGTTATGTGAAAACAAAAATAGGAAATGCACAGATCTCAGAGACATGAACTCCTAAACTAGGACCATAGATCGTGCATCAGTCCACAACTTAGTCTAGAAAATTCTCACCAAGACACAAAATATACTAGTGCACTTTTTCCGTTATGCAAAACTTAAACAATCTAAATCTCGATTTCAGTCAACTAGCTCTCTACATTCATTAAGTGCAAAAGTGAGTTCTCATCAAAGGCATCATCCAAGGTAGACAGCATTTGGCATTTAAGAGTGGTTTAAGTGGTGGAGTTAAAGTGTTTTGGGTTACCTGATGAATCTGGAGGATGCAAGAGATTGTGCAAAACCGCAAATGAGATAAAGACCTGTTGATGACCGCAATTTTGAGTCACTTCTTCTTGTCCAATGTTGTTGCATAATCCTTCCTCCTTTGTCGTGAACAGCTATTCCCCCAGACTTAGATCTTTTCTGGGAATCAGAAAAATAATCTCCAAAACTCCATAAAATTGAACTCTAGCTTGACTCAAGTATAAAATCGATCCTCTTAGACTCTCTTCAGGTATTATTTCCTTTCCTTTATTTTTTCTTTTCTTTTTTGGATTTTTTTTTTTGAAAGGGGAAATAAGCTTTAAAGGCTAAGGGACGAAAATGTACCAAAGTTTTGATATGTCTATATTTTACATCATTTAGAGTGCATTTTAGAGTCCTCATCATGTGTTTTCCCATGTAAATTGAGTCTTTAGGCATGAAAATAGGATTTAGGGCTTGCATTAGGTCCCAAAGAGTTTTGCATGTTTTGAAGTCCTTATCAGGTGCTTTGGGAGTCATTTGGAGCCTAAGAAGAGGAGCAGAGAAGAAGACGGTGAAGAAAAAGGTCAAAAATGGTGAAAACCGCTTGGAGGAATTTCTCGGCCAAATCGCGTACCGGACGGACAGAAACCTCGGCCAAAATCCTTACCGATCGTTCAACCTCGACCAAAAAGCTTACCGATCGCTCAGCACCGACCAAAGTCCGTACCGATCGACCAAAGTCAGCCTGGGTCGAAGATCAGGTGTAAATACCGCGGGTTGAGTTTTTGGCCGAGGCGAAGGAATTTTTACGACCAAAAAGCTTACCGTGGTACACAGCCCTCGGCCATTTTCCTTACCGCGGGAAGCTATTCTCGACCAAAATTTGTCCTTGTCCGCGCGTTTCAAAGATCAGCAATCCGGGGAACCTTCCGGTCCGAACCAGTTGGCGGGGTCTTCAGCAAAGTTGGAGATAATCAAACAAAGATCTCAGAATACTTGGAATCATCCAATTCGGACCAGTGGGGAGAAAGATACAGCTTCCGGAAGATGCACCAACATTACGCGCATCCGAGAACCGAACGGTGGAGTACAAAGATCACGGCGGACGGAACCTTTCCGGACCGAACTAGCTTGCCCGGTCTCCATCAAAGTTTGGGATCTTTGAAAGACCTTTTCAGAACGGTTGGGATCGCTAAATTCGGACGAGTGGTTTGAAAGATAAAGTCTCCGGAGTTCACATCGGTCCAAACAGCTTATTTCCCGGTGATTCCAATGCGGTTCAAAGATGTGAAATCCAGGAAGCCTTCCACTTCCCAAGCTCCGACGGTTTCTTCACCAAAGTTCGAGCTTATTGAGTCATCTTGACTATGGAACTAGTCTCAGAGCATTTGGAGTCGTGGGTTGAAAGTTACTGTTTCCGGGAGGTGACATGGTCGATACGAACCCAAATATGTTGCGGTACGCGCTAAGTGTTTTCTCAGGGCTCGGCATCATTACCTCGACATCGGCCAAGTCAAGGCTCATATTTTGGGAGTATTCTGAACTAGGCCTCGTGCTGACGCCTCGGCACGTTGGAATCAAGGCATGCACACGTAAGAAATGAAGCTGGAAACGACTAAGTGTTGAACGTGCACCTCGGCGCAATGACCCCGGCGTGCATGCCGGCCCCTGTTCGCTCAAACCCCTCGACTACCAAGCGCCTCGGCATTTCATGCCGAGGTCCATTGTCACGAACCCAGAATCAAGAACAAAGCTGCCCAAGAACACACACGTGAAGATGGATCGAAGACTAGGGTTCATGCATGTTCTTGACGTGTTCTTCACGAGATCTTCATTTGGATCTGGACTCACGTGCACTCCTCGACATGAAGACCTCGGCTTCACTCTCCGACACACCGTGGCACTCACCCATCAACCCAAGAACGCGGTTCAGTACCCGGTTTGTTCCGGGCTGACCCGCGACACTTTACCTTTGCTATATATACATTTTGAGACTAAAAACCTAATCATCTGATCTCTTATCTGTTTTTAGCT